GGAGTTCTTCGGTTTTGTTTAACACTAATGAAGTTTAGATACTGTCCATTCCAAGTTGGCTTACGGTATACCAATCTACGTACCGATCCATCAGTTCTGGGTTCGATCGGTACGTAGATGGGTATACCATCAGACGACATGGAAGGGACAGTATCCGAACTTCCATAGTTTTGTACCCAAACGCTACAAACAGGGATTGGTGCAGACGCTGTTTGACAGAGCAAGCAAAATCAGCACACCAGACAAGCTAGATGAAGAGGTGCGTTTCCTCACTAACACCCTAGAAGAAAACGGGTATGCAAATTCTTTCACCGCTCACTTCAGTAAGAAGAGTGAGAAAGAACAGGTGCCCACCGTACCAATGCTTAGCGTAACACTGAAGCTACCGTTTGAGGTAGACGGTTTAGGATAAATATTCGTGATGGTTGGATACCGTCCTCCATGGCGCAGTTGCATAAGCTGCTGGCTAGTTGGCAAGAGCCACTGGCAGTCATGGGTTCGATCCTCCGCCCAGGACCGAAGGATGCGCACCACTGATGAGCCCCAACAAGGCGAAACGGCCGTCTGGTGCTTTTCCGGATAGCTAGTTGACTTATCTGAATTGTCGGCTGATTGCGACGAACAAAATTATTCCAACGGCGTTTGATATCACCGGTCGCAATAGTGTACCCCGCGGCGCAAGCCGTACTGGTATAAATAACCACGAGTGTTCGTACACATTCAGTTAAACCTCAGCTACCTCTGTCCACCCATGCACACATCGTTTACAAATGTACATGTAATTGCAAGGCCACTTACATAGGTTGGACAGTGCGCTAGTTACGGGTGATAATCGCGGCGCATATCCCAGAGTGGGTCAGGAATCACTTTTCAAACTAGCTGCGTCCACCACCCAAGGTGCACAGCCAAGGAACGCAAGTCGTCAACCGTTCAAAACGTCTGTGTCATCCATTCCTTGACATCTCCTGACAGACAAACACTGCGTTGACCCCATGCTTATGATTAGTGTGGTCTACGCCTCAAACGGCACTCGTACTGCGATACGCTGAGGCGGTCGCGATCAAACCGCTTGACCCTAGACTGCATGTGCAGAAGGAGGCGTCCGTCGCACTGGCTCTACCCTGGTGGTAAGTCGATTGGCAGATGATGAATTGACAGGGACGTGTGTGTCTATGCGTGTGTACGTATGTTGGCGAGTTTCCTATCTCAAATTTCTGAACTCTTCATCGTGCTATTCAAATCAAGTCGTCAATAAATTGTTTTAGGCACACGATGACGACAATGTAACAAAAAATCAAATCAGAGGCAAAGCAAAACGATAGTGAACGTGTAGATAAGGGGAAACAACCCAATCAAGTTGAACGTCGACTCGTTAAGTCAAGGATGACAGAATTGGCGTTTCGCAAAAAACGCCAGAAGTCAGGAATGACTGACGAGCGGTAAGCTTGTGTGCGGGCATAGCTTAGCTTGCAAGTTTGTCTAGTAGATGAAATTGATAAACATTCAGGTAAGGCAATATGTAGGGGATGACTTATATCAGTCAGCATCTCTGAGGTCAGCTTTCTACAAGAAATGATGTGTGTAGAAATAAGTTTTGGCAAAAGATGCTTTCAGAACACCGCTGCATCTGGAGAAGTAATTTAATTATCTGACAAGTAACTTAAAACTCTTACCCAAACTACTGGGAAATACCATGTGTTCTGTAGAACGTACTTGAACATACGCAGAGAAATTTGTCCGGAATTAAATCGAGCGGAGTTTTGTGTTAACCATTTTGCAAATAACTTTAGTTATTTTTGAAAACGTATACAACGTGAAAGGTTGACAACAACAACTAGAGTGGTATACAGAAAAGCTGTCATTCACGAATCTCCATGGTATGAACCCTCACGACCCAACCAAGAATACCATATTTCCAATGGGATAAATATGGAGTGGGTGCGGGGATTTTTTATGGCATTACCTAATGCAATTTATAAAAGGACAAAAACTGCCCTAGGTACCATAGAAAATGCGCGATAAGTGGCTAGAATGAACTTTTGTTTCATTTTCGCAAAAACTAAGAGCTAAATTCCATCATATATTCCTTGGCATTATTAATAGAACGATTTAAACGATTATGATTAATCTCGCGTAGAATGTGCTAAATAAGTAACAATATTTTATGAGGAACAAGAATTCTCCGAATTTCTCCACGACAACTGAGGATTGAAAATATAGTATAGTCATGCCGACGTTCATAAAATTCTGACTACACGTGCGATATGACATGCTCATGAGGAGCGAGTTTTCTGTCGAACATAAATGCTCCGGCCAATAGCACCTACCCTGCCAGGCTAGAAAAAGCAGCTGACATATTTGTTGCAAATATGAGGGAATTATTATGGCGCATACACAATGTCTAGTGTTGCAATTTATGCAATCTTATCACCATGGCGGTTAGCGCTACACGTGCGGATTTAGTCTTGTTTGTGATGTTGTATGGTCTTCATAGTGCCCCATGCTGTGGCTGATATTGCATTTTTGATTCTTCTTCAACACATTTGGGCTAAACCAACTTACACTTAAACTGCGTCTTTTTAAGCCTGATAAATTTCATTCCACTTCATTTTGTTTGTTCTGCCTACCAGAATCATCTTCTATTAACTAACCACGTTGCTTGCGCTAATTGCGCTTACCTTCGGTAACATTTTACGTTTGCAGTAGTTTTAAGTAATTGTGGACATTTTTCCTTATCGCGGATTCTTTGTTAACCAACTTACTCCATATGGTAATTTGGCGAAGAATTATGCCACCGTATCTGTATGCATTATTAGATCTACTTTATTGTATCTTGTAGGTCTAAATGATTGGCTGTTGTTTGATATCTCCGAGGTGGCTGCGCTTGATGTGCAGGTTGACAATGTACCTACCTGTGTGTTACGCACTACCTCATCCATACTGGCTCCAGGAGACTGTTGGTCGTTGCTGGAGGGGACGGGGTGCACGGTCCTTGTGGCTGTGCTACACTCGAAGATGGGTTCCACGCACTCAGTGTGGAGCGGACCACGGTCCAGCCACCGCTTTGTATGGGCTTGATTCCCCAAATAAACCGTGCTTGTGTTTGTCTGTGAAGCAGTGTGGGCTCGCTCCGTTGATGAAACGTGGCTCCCATCCACATGCCTCCCGGTCTTATTCCTTCGTGTTTACACTGGAAATGGGGTTTATTGGTGGAGCTGTGGGGGATGCAGCGCAAACCAACCGTGATCCTCTGTAGGCGCAGGCGTCCTGTGGCTGGCCACAGTGACAGGCAAATACGAAATCGGATGCTGCCAACCATGGTCATCTTAAATGGATCCGGATAAATTATTGTATGGATGCCGATAACTCCAGCTACTGAATGATTCCAAAGTCATCGCAATTTAAACACAATGTTTGCACCGGTTTACTTATTTTACCCTCTCATGGGTTTTCCAGAGCTTGCATCCAAAAATCGGTTTCCGTAAAGACATGGTTTGCTTTCGAAGGTAGACACTCAGCTAATGAATCTTTTTCCTAGCCATATGCACTTAAGTGTAGTGAGGCGAATCCCAAGTTTTTGCGCGACTATCGGACTTTAGTTTGCTTCAATTGACGGCATTTCAAGGATACGCCAGCAATAGCGATGTTTCCCTTGTTGATATCACTGCTGCGGCAAGGATAATGGGATTGACATACAGAGCTGCATTGAAATGGAGGGATAACCTCTCGTTGCAAGCGATGACTATGAGTTGGCTGTATCTGAGACCGAGTGATGGTCACCGAACTTAAAATACTGACGAGCGTAACTAATCAGTGGTTTGTTTTCGCAACCTATTGCACACGAGAAAGATTAAAAAAATAGGCCATCCGCAATTTAATAATGGATATAAGATGGGGAAATGAGCCTCTGGAGAGTGAGCTGACTCTATGGTTTATTTGTATTAATGGAAACATTTATGCCTCCACACTTTTCAGTTGTTTGTTAGGTAACAAAGACCGAATTACGGAAGTTGGTAGACTCTTGATAGTCCCACTGATCACGTCGTCCAGCTCTCACTCACGAAAGACTACACAGGTTTAAAAGACTAAAATTGGAATACAAATCAATCACAATGGTGTTCTGCATAGTAGCGTCCGGGTGGCGTTCGAAATGGCCACATATGTGTGCATTCTCCTTCACTAAGAAGTGAACTGAACTGCAGGTCAACTTGAGTCAATACAGAAGTGTAAATCATAAAACTCATAACGATTAGGAGACTTCTTTTGGTAGGGAATACAGAAGCCCCTTACCGTTTGCGTGAAATTATGCAACACAGTGCAACGCTAGTGCTTTAATGATGTTATTGATTGATACTCAACTATTCTGTTGTAAGCGAAACCTGGAAAGAATTATGTGAAATGTAGAGGCACGAAGGGTCAGAACAACCGCTCCTTGTACGTTTGGGCGTGTGAGTACTCTCCAGCCGAGTACATTTTCGCGGAATTCTCTTACAGACTATGTCTTAATAACAGTGTGTAGTTTAGTGGCGTAATCATCACCCAGTTACCCACAAAACGTGCTAAACATCATAGCTAGTTTAATCCATTAACGCACATATGATGAGCTTTTTGAGGCTTGCAGGAGAGGAAAAAGAGTAAGAAAGGATGCTTGAAATCTTCTGGATCAAGGACATCGCAGGCCGATGTTTGCTACATTTTATGCATCTCTGAATTTACCGCTACAATCTTCGACGCCAGTTTCCAACACTGAGCAAGAATTATTCGATAACCTAAGAATGATAAGGTTTTGACTGACTTAGGAACTCAATGTAATGTTTTATCCTCAGTCTCTTTTTATCCATCAATTTTTTCTGTTTTGCCATATCTGCGTGCGACAGAAGAACATGGTTGTAATTTCTCCCAAAGAAAGTGAACCAGCTCAGTTGGGGAAGGTCATGTACAAATTGTCATCTGAAACATGTTCTTTGGTTCAACATCACTTTCACATTTTATGTTCATAGAGAATTCGCCAAAGAAAGAGAACGTGTGGAGAAGAGGCGCGCGTTTCTCAAACTCCGTAGGCAACAACAAACTGAGAAAGAGTTCAATGGTTACATGGATTGGATTCAACGTGCAGGTAAGTGAAATATCGGTGGATGAGTGGACTGGGTTGCTTTGCATTTTTCACCAGGAAGGACAGGGTGGTTGCATTAGGGATGTCAAGAAATCCATAGAATGGTCCGAAATAGTCAAAACGCACAGGTTTGTCTAACACATGCAAATCGACTGAATTGTACTACTATGATCGTGTTCCACGCAATCGAACATTGTGTTGTCGCCGAAATACCAAACAACCAAATTTGGAATCGTGATATATTCCACGCGGTTATTTTGCCTGGAACCGACCGCAATGTATCAAGTGTATCTGGTTAAACGTATTCTACTGCAGTTAAACAAACATGAACGGTCGTAAATTAAAAAGATATGAGGTTCAGGTGACGTACATCTGGAAACAATTAAACATTCCTCTGCCTTGTATCCAGGACTGGGGGCTGAAAGGATTCCTTATATCATGATAACGTTTGAGCGCTCATTGTGATCCCAGATACACTTTCCATGATTCTCGGATAATTCCTTGAGCGCTACGGAGGAGAGTGGCTACCTCAAGGAGAAAAGCTACTGCATTGAGGATGTAAGATTTGTGAAATGGTAAAAACACTATGTTTACAGACAAGACGAACTCTTATCGTTCAATGCATCCCGAAACGGATTGTGGTGCGGGCGTAAGTTATCACAGCCGGAGCAAACTCGGACCAAAATAGTTCATAAGAAAGGGCTCGGAGTGTATTTATGGACAAGTCGTTACTTAAGCTTAAGGCTGTCATCTAAACTCCAAAATTTTAAAATGACCTGCGGCGTTTGCGTGACTTCCATTTCATAGTAAAATGCATACGTGCTGCCCGAAAGCAGCTGTGTTGCATAAATGCAACCACCGATTGTCAACATTGGCATAAAATTAGGCAATTCCTGGTTCCAATTTCGTTAGTAAAATTTCTAGCTGTTAACACGAGCTAGAGAGAGAAGTAGACTGCTAGCATAAATGATGAAACGAACGGGGGCATGCAACAATCAATAAGTTTCACCCATTCTCCCTACCAGTCATTAATTCATAAGTGGCTTCTTCGATGTAACCATCCTTTCGAAGCCTTTTAAGACAGTTGCAAGGTTGCGTTTCAATCGGTTTTGTTTTGTTATTCTTACCTATGCCCCTTAGAAATTAGGTTTCATCTGCCAGTATTTCCTTCATTTTGCTCAAGTAGTCCACTCTGTTCGTGATAACAATGCCCGGACCTATATCCGGCTAATAATATGGTACATTTCTCGTGGTAACGAGAACTAAGTCCACATAAGGACGTATCATATTTACATTGCAACATGCTCAAGCAGGCGAGGCTGTCAATGGATTTGATTTTTACAGGGTTACAATAGGGATGCTTTTGCGAACGTATTTATTTGGGACTTTGTCTCCGTATGCAACCAGTTCGCGAGCATTCACAATTGGTTGTCTTCGGTGCAGCTTAGTAATGCCATGATGTCGGCGGTTTGATGAGGGGGTGGTAGTGGAGTATGTAAAGGATCGAAACAGTTAGAGTCACCAATCAAAATCAGTTGAGTAACATATAATCTTACTTAATAGACTGGAGTAGTAAATTTGGAGCTATTTGTGAGTAGCAAGTTCTGGTTGCGAAAATAAGGAAAAACTGTATCAAGGTAAGTCCAGGGGATAATCGAACTCCAGTTGTTTTAGCAGAATAATGTAAACTATACACATATCATGGGGCGTCAAGGCATTGCGTGGTGTCTATACTTTCCTAGGTCGAATCATGGAATTGAATTAATCAAGTTGTGTTTTGGCCTACCAGATTGTTGAGATGCTGGTTGATCTCAGTTGCATTCCCTTTAGCCTTGACTTGTATGTGCTTATTTATGGCGTTCGTGACTATGCAAGGAAAAGGTAATGTTGAAAAGGGAGAATTAAACAGATCAGTAGACAGAAATAACCGCCTATTCACTGCGAAGTCTGGACTTATTCAGTACATGGTTGTCTCGTTGAAGATGCCAAAGACACGGTGATTAGACATGTGTACAATATTTAACCATTTTTTGGCGTAAATTAGAGAGGAAAGTCACCGTAAGTTAACTCGAGTATATGGTCTAAGAAATATGTTAATGGGAAATATCGTTAAGTGAGTAGGAAGGTAGAGATAAACTAAGAACCAGGAGCAGAACAGATCCAATGCAGAATGAAGCAGGTTGAGAAAGAATAGGTGAAGTAATACGGTCATCCGTGAAACCGTCTCTCATAGACCTGCTTCCATGCGGGGTAGCCCTCGAGAGATTTCCCCCGCACCTCCACATCACATCTAGTCAAGTATCGGTGTGGGCTAGAAGCACACTGGTCAATACTGATTCAGGTGGCATTTGGTGTACTCGCTGTGTGGTTGGATTGCGACTCGCAATCTCTATTCAGACCTCGGTCCTAAGTGGACCTCGGTCATTACGATCACAAGGACCGTAACCGAATTGGTGGTTCGGTGTTGCTCCTCCCAACCCTGAGACCCCATGACCGGTTTCGTCCTCCTTTGGACTCATCAGATGGAGATACCCTGAGCTGGGGTGGACCTCGAGGTATAGTGTTCAAAGGTTGACGCCCTGACCACTTTGGCTCGTAAGTCCGCGAGCAACGTTTAGCACAGCGGTAAAGAGTTTCAGGTGGCATTTGGTGTACTCGCTGTGTGGTTCGATTGCGACTCGCAATCTCTATTCAGACCTCGGTCCTAAGTAGACCTCGGTCAATACGATCACAAGGACCGTAACCGAATTGGTGGTTCGGTGTTGCTCCTCCCAACCCTGAGACCCCATGACCGGTTTCGTCCTCCTTTGGACTCATCAGATGGAGATACCCTGAGCTGGGGTGGACCTCGAGGTATAGTGTTCAAAGGTTGACGCCCTGACCACTATGGCTCCTAGGTCCACGAGCAACGTTTGGCACAGCGGTAATGTGTTCCAAGTGGCATTTGGTGTACTCGCTGTGTGGTTGGATTGCGACTCGCAATCTCTATTCAGACCTCGGTCCTAAGTGGACCTCGGTCATTACGATCACAAGGACCGTAACCGAATTGGTGATTCGGTGTTGCTCCTCCCAACCCTGAGACCCCATGACCGGTTTCGTCTTCCTTTAGACTCATATGATGGAGATACCCTGAGCTGGGGTGGACCTCGAGGTATAGTGTTCAAAGGTTGACGCCCTGACCACTATGGCTCCTAGGTCCACGAGCAACGTTTGGCACAGCGGTAATGTGTTCCAAGTGGCATTTGGTGTACTCGCTGTGTGGTTGGATTGCGACTCGCAATCTCTATTCAGACCTCGGTCCTAAGTGGACCTCGGTCATTACGATCACAAGGACCGTAACCGAATTGGTGATTCGGTGTTGCTCCTCCCAACCCTGAGACCCCATGACCGGTTTCGTCTTCCTTTAGACTCATCAGATGGAGATACCCTGAGCTGGGGTGGACCTCGAGGTATAGTGTTCAAAGGTTGACGCCCTGACCACTTTGGCTCGTAAGTCCGCGAGCAACGTTTAGCACAGCGGTAAAGAGTTTCAGGTGGCATTTGGTGTACTCGCTGTGTGGTTGGATTGCGACTCGCAATCTGTGATCGTAATGACCGAGGTCCACTTAGGACCGAGGTCTGAATAGAGATTGCGAGTCGCAATCCAACCACACAGCGAGTACACCAAATGCCACGTGAAACTCTTTACCGCTGTGCTAAACGTTGCTCGCGGACTTACGAGCCAAAGTGGTCAGGGCGTCAACCTTTGAACACTATACCTCGAGGTCCACCCCAGCTCAGGGTATCTCCATCTGATGAGTCCAAAGGAGGACGAAACCGGTCATGGGGTCTCAGGGTTGGGAGGAGTAACACCGAACCACCAATTCGGTTACGGTCCTTGTGATCGTAATGACCGAGGTCCACTTAGGACCGAGGTCTGAATAGAGATTGCGAGTCGCAATCCAACCACACAGCGAGTACACCAAATGCCACCTGAAACTCTTTACCGCTGTGCTAAACGTTGCTCGCGGACTTACGAGCCAAAGTGGTCAGGGCGTCAACCTTTGAACACTATACCTCGAGGTCCACCCCAGCTCAGGGTATCTCCATCTGATGAGTCCAAAGGAGGACGAAACCGGTCATGGTCAATACTGATTTTATTCATCATTTGGGCAATTGTTTTTACTGGTGAGCTAGTTACTCAAACCAGTCAGCCCCTTCGTTTTTCAGAGTAGTTTGATTGCATGATGACCGAGATCACCGGTTGGCTTCATACTCTATTATGTGTGAGGTCAGCAGTTCAGATTGAACTGTATGTTTAATTTCAGCACAATTTTTGTATTCACCAGTGAATGTTTTGGCGTGGGTATACATGTTGCTTAGATGCTTCAAAACGGCAGCTCAGGAGATCGGCCCACTCGTGACCAACAGAATAACAAGAGAATAAGATGGAATAGTTAGATCAGGAGGTAGGATCTTCAACAAATAAGTAGCCAATCAGCATGTCATGAGAAATTATGAGATGCCATATGATTGGCTGTGATGAAATGTTGCAGAAGTTTGGATTAACAAGTAGCGCTATTAATGAGTTGCCTTCTCAAAGTTGACTTCGAGAACCCGCTGGTGGTTGGGTTGCCACAAGCAACTTCTACTGAGACCTCGGTTCACTTGAGGTGGACCTCGGTCATTCCGATCACAAAGACCGTAAGTAAGCATTGCTCGCGTATCTCAGTGGCATAGTGCTTATGGCGTCAACCATGAGCCATTAGGCTCTGAGTTTCAGCCCAACTTAGGCTATTTCCAACTGATGAGTCCCAACAGGACGAAACCGCGGTCTTGGGGTGCCGGTGTTGGGATGAGCAACACTATAATTTTCATTTTACTTACGGTCTTTTTGATCGGAATGGCCGAGGTCCACCTCAAGTGAACCGAAGTCTCAATAGAGGTTGCTTGTAGCAACCCAATCGCCAGCGGATTCTCCAAATTTAACTTTGCATTCGTTTCCGCTGGACCAAGCGTTGCTC